GTTGGATCCTTCTGCACTTCGGGTCGTCCGAACATGCTGAGCATGTTCGGCCGACCCGAAGCCACAGGAAGCAAGCCGATGTACGGCTGAAATTAGCCTTACCAGCCTGAAGTGAATAGCCGAACAGTGTTCGGCTCACTTCACTTCAGATCGGTCATTCACTCGGCTGCCCTCAGCAGCTTCGTGAATAGACCTCATAATTTGCAGCTCAATTTGACAAAATATAAATAATAATACTTTTCCTACATTTATACATACTTGTTAATAAAAATGCATAATTTATAGCCTGAACACTATTTCTTAGAAGTATTTCATGGTTGGACATCATTGAAGCTACGTATTCAAATTATGGAGTGTGCACATGATAATGCCATTGACCTTTCTCAGCTCCACTGCTCATTAAACCTGCTCACTTGTCTTGTAAAGACACAAGATGAGGATAGAAACAGTCTGATCAATAGACTATGTGACAGCTTCTTTAAATCCTATCATTTGGCTTAGACCTGCTTCATGTGTATTTATAGACTGGATTAAAAAAAAAAGTTCTATATATTATAATCTATATAATGTAAAGATAACAAGTGAAATAAGCTAGAATAAAATACCAAAGAAATTTAATTCTAAATAAAACCATAATTCTAATATAAGTAATTATATTTATCCTGAGTACCTTTTCATAGCATGTGGAAATGCCTCATGAAATATGCTGTGTACTTCTCTGCTTTGGTGCTTGGGACATTAAAATGTTGGGTAATTTCTAGAAAATGTTGACTAAAGTCAAAAGCATACAACTGTTTAGAAATATTGTCTGAATGTATTTAATCTGTTATATTCTGCTAAAGTCATTATTTTTATTGTTGTTAAAAAATGAGACTATTTTACCCTGGGAATCTATTTTAATACATCAGCATTATACCTTTATTCTGCATGATGATGTAATGCATATTAATTGATGTATGCAATATGTCAACTGCAGAGCCCATACCCAGAAGGGAACTGTAAAGTGCATTTCCACTTTTGCATTCAAATTTGGGAAATCCCCAAGATATGTTTGCTATGCACTCCCATTTACACAGCTGATGTTGCCCCCCAAAGCCACATGAAAAGACTCTCTTCACCCTGTACGGCATTTAGTTTTTTTAAAGTAGTTTTGCATTTGTATGTCCCAGTACCAGTGCCCAACTTCCCATGCCTTTTATGGCAGTAGTTTGTCTATTAGCCTTAGCAATGGCCAAAATGTAACAACAAGATCCCCCATAGACTTTTTTTCACAAGTAAAGTTTTTATTGTTTGGAGAATTGACCATAGCAAGTACAGAGGCATCAGATAAGTAGCCTTAAACAACCATAAGGTCTACACATTTTTTTTTACAACAATGAAATAAAAACCAAGGGGGGTGTTATGGAAATTCACTTGGTTCAACCCACAAATCCATGTCGCATTAAGCTGCGCCAAACGCAAAGAATTTCCCCCGTTGTACTACGCTCTTTTGTGCAAGGACTGGAAGTATCCCTTTCAGAGTCATGTAGAGTTAGGAGACAGATGCTGCTTGCTTGATAATCCCATGCTTAGAGACAGATCACAGGTATGTTTATTGTTTTATACCTGCCCAACAGGAAGTGATGTCAGACCGGAAGGGGTGTCTCAAACAGCGAGACAGGAAATGCGGCAAGACAGGAAGTGATGTCAACAACCAGCAAACCAGGAAATGGGGCAGACAGGAAGTGAACAGGAGCCAGCTAACAAAACACATTAGTAGAATAATCTATCACCACCGGAGTGACTTTATCCAGCATTGCTCAGTGATCAATGCCACATAATGTTACTATGATTCTCATGCGTGCTTATTTTCAGGCAACGTCATTATCTCTAGCGGGTTGATCAGACTCACTAGGGACAATAAACGCACGTTCCTTTCATATACTGCGTTCCAAACAAATGTATCCACGCAAGCCAATAAATCCATGCATTGCACGGGGGCCCCCAGCCGGCGTCCATACATTTGCCAAGAAGACACTGCTCCGCCGCGCATAAGATATCTACTCCAATGGTTTAACCCCCCAGTGTCTATTTAAACCGAGACACTGAGAGACTAATGACAAAACATTACAATACACTAAAAACACATCCTAGTAAAATTTCCACAACAGGGGTACGCCAATGGAAGTTGAGTGGGGCTTAACCAGGAGAGACCTTAGTCTATTGTAGTGGCATCACATCTATCTATATAGCAGGACACAGCGTAATTAGTAGAGTATACCATAATTGGGTCAGATAGAAGAGATCCCCCATAGAGTTTAATGGAATTTGCCTCTAACTTTGGGTTTATCAAACTCTTAGCTTCCTCTTAACTCTTTGCCCAACAATAATTGTCTTATTTTTATCATTCCAAATCTAGAAACTGTCTCTGACTGGGCAAGAATGGTAATCATACAGTTGATTTACTAAAGTCAAATAGGCTGTTTAATTTGCAAGGGAGTTTTTCCTCAGGTTAGCGAATGTTGTGAAAATTCGCTTTACAAAGAATACCCGATCACAAGCAAGAAAAATACAATAAAAAAGTATTTTTGCTTGCACATGATTGGATGATTGA